ACCTCCTCAGGAAAAGAAACTGAAAGAGATAAAAAAGAGTAAACTAATAAGAGATGTAACAAATGAAACCAAAAGATAAAATAAAGCTAATACAAGAGGCATTATTTGTTACATATTATCTTTGGGTCTAAACTAGTAATAGTTGACACTACAGCTGCCCCCGCTTGGTATATTGTCGGTCAATAGTACTCTTGCTCGTTGTGTAGCTCTTTGAAATATACCGATTCATAATGAAGATTTTCACACATATTCCATACAATAGGTGAGATAAATACGGGAAACGCAAGGTTCCATGCACAGTTTCAGTTCGATTTACACAGCTTTGATCAAAAAATTCTCAGTTTCGAGAATAGTTTATTCTAAACCATAAGAAAAGATTTATTTCGCTATTTCTCTTTCACTTTTTACATTCAGTTCATTTTATTTGCCGGAAAGTAAGCCTTAGAAATTGAAAGGACGTTTGATCAATTCACGCTCGCGCATTCTAATCTTATTTTAAACTTTATAGCGGAAGGACATCTGTGAGCAGGGAATAAGTCAGCACAGAATTTGATTGTCGGCGAATTTCTGTAATCGTCCATCGTTCTGCTAGTGATAAGCTAGCCGTTGTTCACTCGTCTTGCTTGTTTGGGGCTGAGTCAAAGAGAGAGAAAGAGTGTCTGGCAAGGTTTCCAATCAAAGATTTGTGAACTCGTGTCTGGCAAACTCTCCAAGTGTTTATATATACACAGTTATATGCACCTTATAACTTCATCTGCGCTTAACGAGTGTCTTTTGGTCCATAACTTTCAAAACAACTGCTCCACAGAATGTCACTGATAACACGTAACGCAAAAGAGTATCGAAGTATGACTGCACAATAAATGTCACAAAATCTACCTAAGCGGTCGCTTTGGGATTTTCTGTCTTTACGTCATCCTAACCATTTCGTACTTGCGGGCGCAAACAATAGAAACGTCATCATTACCTACCGATTCCTCGCGGCCCCTGTTTAAGCAAATCGAGATTTTTTCTGGCATACTGACTGTATATTTCAACTGTAAGTACTTTCCTTAATATATGCACGAGTTACTAGAGTGCCTCCTCGGGATTTCGTTTTCTGACTGGATTTTCATACAAGGTGCCTGCACTAAGTCCAAGAAAAAAGAACTCACTCTCCCCACCCATGATACGCCCGATGGTAAATGGATTAGCCCGAGAAAGCAATCGCGTCTCCCTAGGTTAGCAAATGTTGTCAGAAGCTTGAAAAATGTGTTAACAATAATTATAGTAAACAGCGACCACGTTTGAAAAGAACGAAGGCCTTTACCTGTAGAAAGAAGAATCCACTACCTTGCCTGTATATGAGGGTGCTAGTGAGGTTAACAGTTAACTGATATTTGGCCGAAAAAACAGTAGTTAACTGATAATTGGCCGAAAAAATAGTAGTTAACTGAGAATTGGGTACCCCCATTTGCACCCTCGTATATTGTGTTTATAACACATATCACACATAAACCTGGAGAACAACAATTAAAGATTGACAGTGAAAGTTGTTTTGTATACAATATTTTCCTTTTCCTAGTTGACGACAGGAGACTGGGGGCAACACCCCAACATTGCCTAATAGGCCATTTGCACGATGGCGTCATTTTACTACTACGACCAGAATCCTTTCGTTTTCCCTTTCATATTCAAATTTGGTAATTCCAGCGAGGTTTGAATAACAAAAGCCTTCATTTGCACAAGAAAGCAAAACCCTGAAGGGTTTTGGTCGTAGTAGTAAAATTACGTCATCATGCAAATGGCCTTTTATTGCGAGTCTTCCCAAACCGAATTTACGAAAACGATCGAAAGCTCCGCATGGTGGCTCACTGGTTTCCTGAAGAGATGACCCGAGCAAGAATCTCAACTGTTTGGTATAAATGGCCACAAGCGTGGCGTTTTTAATTGAAACCAATGATGAAATTAACTAATTAACATCTCTTCAGGAAAGGTGGGGACAAAAATCCGCCACGAGCCACAAGAATGTGGCAACCCCACCAAGACACCAGCCGAGCTCTCGAGAAGGAAAACCAATAAACTAAGTTGGTTTCAGTACTTAAAGTATAGTGATCTAAAAGAACGAAAACAGGCATTGGAGTAGCAGCCCAATGAAACTGACCTACTGCAATACTCGGACGATAATGGCGATAATAGACACTTTGTAATAAGCGGTTTAATATAGCTCAGTAGCAAACAACGAAACTACGACAAGACTAGGGCCGACTAAATTACGCCAATGGAGAAGCAGACCCATTTCTGACCCTCTGCATTGGCCTATATAGTGCAACTAGAGATAACGATAAGCAATGTCTTGGTAAAGACAAAGGTAATGGAGAAGCAGCCCTGTATGTCTGACCTCCTGCATTAGTTTTTTCTAGAATTTCTAAAATCACTGACACAAAAACATATAAAAAGACGGTAAGAGGCCGAGTACATTCGTTATGTCCTAGGGTGTATAGAGAATTTTAAATATATCGAAAATTCAATTATAGACCTAAAGAGTAGAGGCGGGAGATAAAGTTCGAGGCAGTCCTCTAACTGGCCCTCTTGAACGCCTTAGTTTCAGTAATAAATTGCTATCAAATCATCAGTCTACGAAGAAGCAGTCCAATATCTGACCTTCTTCGTTAACGTGACTAGAGACATCAGGAGCAAATCAAATCAAGTCAATTAGCGTGTAAGGTGTCGGACCTAATGTAAAGCTTAAAAGCGTCGGATTTCCAGCGGCCAAGCGTCCGAATTTGGGCATCGGAGAACTCTTTCTCGGCTGAGTGACAGGCAGCTCCCATGCGAAAGCTATGACCTTTGCACCTGCTTGTGTCAAGCCCGCAAAAAGACAAGCAACGATGGAGTTCGGTATTTAACTGACCCACTTTTATTGGGCTTGTGTCGCTATGACAAAAAAGAGGGCCTGCTTGGGTGCCCCTGAGTTTGCAATAATCCAACATCGCTTGCACTGGGCAAAACGGCATAGAGTCTTCCGCTCGATTAGGATAACAAACGGGCGTTTGTCCGTGTTGTGTTTAAAGTTTGTGATAGTGATTTTAAGCATGTGAATGTTTCCATCATGCGTGAGAGAGCGCACGTCACGGAATTGAACTAACGAACTACCAGAATTCGCGTTCTTGGCCGCCAGCTAACCGATCCTAAAAAGGGCATAAAATGCTCTTAAAAACATAGTAGAAAAAAGAGTACGGTGAATGGCCGAAGAGTTGTTGTGGTTAAGTGAACCTACGAGCACGTGAAGAACCGGCCTTGAGATTGGAAGCCGGATGTCACTTGAGCCTTGACGACTTAGGGCCGTCAACAACTTGTCAGTAATAAAAGCCCTCGTAGGATCACGCAAACCTTTCACCAAATTAACTACAGAATACAGGGCAAATTTTCTAGATATATTCGTTGGGTGGCTCGATGGCTCGGTAGTCCCGACTGACGAGCCACCGAGCCACTAAACTATATAACCTCGACTGAAGAGCCACCGAGCCGCCGAGCCACTAAAATATATACCTATAATCTGCTATAATACATACTAAAATATACGCCTTCTATGTCTGTCTTATACTTATATGTCTTATATCTTTCTCTTTCTTTAAACACTTGTCATGACTAGCGAGCCACCGAGCCACTTCTGTTTAAGACCTTAAAATATGGCCCTGTATTCTGTAGTTGCTCCGCGCACTAAAATTATGACCAATTGATGTTTTGACGTCTGTCGGTTAATGATATCAACAATGGCAGCGTTATCAGTGTAGAATGCCACACACCTGTTGGCCATATAAGGCCGATGTGTAGCGCTATAACGATCGGAAACAGCTCTAAAAATGCGATATTTAAGGATTTCCAAGAATCCGGCCACGCGTCGCAAAACCAATGCTTACCAAAGACAGCACCGTACCCCTTGGATCCGGCTGCATATCTGTGTACAACTGGAGAGAGGACGAAGTTTCCAATTTCTCGTGCGGGAAAAAGATTCTCCCATTAAACTACCCTAAAAATGTTAGCCAGACGGCAATGGCGTGTTTAACCTCCTTAGTAAGGCGAATGTGATGGTGCGGTCGTCTTGCCCCTTTGGTACCCAACAATGGATAGTCATTAGGATGGATGGGTATTATGCGAAACGCCGATTTGACATCCGTTTTGGCCATAAAGCAACCAGCCCCTGCCCGTTTGAGGACATCAATTGCGTCGTTTATGGAAGCATAACTGACCGAAGAACAATCATCGGGAATAAAATAATTGACAGAGGAAATATGGGGGTATGATAAGTGATGTATTAGCCGAAATTCGGAAGGATCCTTCCTGGGAACAATGCCTAGAGGCGAAAAATGAAAGATTGGAAAAGGTGGGACAGTGAAGGGACCTCCGATACGACCGGCCTCACATTCCTTGTTCAAGTTTGACAAAACAACTTGTGGTTTTTCGAGTGCGCTTTTTAGATTACGGGATTCAAAGGTCTGCCGTTCGCCAACATAACTGATACGAAAACCGAAAGAAAAACCCGAAATTATAAAGTGTTTAAAGTCAGCAGGGTATCCGGTTAAAAGAAAATCAAGCCTGTCCACCCTTACGGTAGTGGCTGGACTGCTGTGTAGAATTCGTAGCAACGGGTCCTTCTTAGGGGAAAGGGAGGCGATGTTGTTGGGTGGCGGAGCACTGGCTTGCGGGGTGCTTGGCGCCACATTTGAAACAAACATGGTCCAATCGACAACCGCGCAATATCTCCCTGCATGAAATATCCAGCAGGACCCTTTGGGAAAGGACTGGCGAGGCCGTGATCGCGTAGAAACCCCAGAATTGACCTTGTCCGAGCTAAATTGCGATTTTGTACGAAAATTTATTACCGCCTTAAGCCATAGCTCCCAGCGCACAGAATCCCAGGGGTACTGGTCAGGGGCTGACTGCCTAAGATAACGAAATTGTTCGTCATAAAAATACCAGTCACCCGGTTTGGCTGAAATGTCGCGAATGATCTCGCAATATTTCATAAGTTGCGGGGTTTCATGGGGAAATTTCTCTGTAAATATGGCTACAAACGTATTGAAAGCTGATAGCCATTGATTAAAGCTATGAATTTTCGTAGAGGGTTGAAAAGGCTCCAGGGTCAACTGGGGTTCTCTCGGGGAGCTATCAGTGGACTTGAAAGAAAAAGAATACTTTTCAGTAGCTGGGGAGACGGAAAGTAGTGCCCTGAAATCGATATACTCATTTGGCCAGATTTTCCCATGAAGTTTGGGAGTTACGTTACTGCCTAGAGCTACGGCTATACTAGCAAATGGTTTTTTGTTGCCTGGCGACGGGAGCGGATTGGATGACGTACTTGGAGGTGTACTTTCGATCAGAAGAGAAACCTCTTCATCAACCACTGCCTCTACGCCAGTAGGCTTGTGCTGGCACTTTTCAACTTGCGTTTGGGGAATCTTCTCAAAGGCCCGTTGAACTGCCTCGGTTACAGCGAGGGAAATAGACGAAGTTAAGGCGTTCACATCCACCGTCATCAAATTAGCTGTGTTGGAATTTGTAGCTGCTAAACGTGTATGCTCTGTCTCAGGAGCCGTCTCTGTGAGGTCGGAACGTCGCATTCGCTTGGACTGTCTTCGCTTAGGCCAATTAGGTTGTTGGCTCTTCTTGGGAGGCATGACTTATCATCAAAGACCGTTACGGTTAATTAACTCCATGTAAGGTAAACATTTCCTGTCTAACATTCATTAGAGGGGCAGAACCCACGAGTACGCGAGAACAATGTTGGAATGACAAACAGGGGAGGAGAAGTCGAAGTTAAAATAAAGAAAAACATCGCGGGCCAAGTTCCAGTCAAACGAAAACAACAAAACTCAATAACAACAATAGACAATCAAATTGAAATAAAACAAAATCAACAGCAGGTACAGAATACCGAGTGCATTGGGCACACCAGACAAAGATCAGGCGGCCGGAGATATGTTGTACACTCAAAAATGGTATCTGACTGCAAATTATAAACCCAAACTTTCCGGGTAGCAAACAAAGGGTTCCAAAAGGAACCTATGGAATCAGAGTGTACAGCCAGTGTCGTGCTCAAATAGCTGAGGCAACGACTAAAACGCATAAATCAAAGACTGACCCAATAAATACTGGCCGCTAAACTGCGACTCATGGTATACAGTCAGTGTCTCGAGCTCAAAATCAAAAATCAAGAGGCAACGACAAAGCAAATAACCAAAGGCTGACACGATCATAAACACAATTGTTTGAGTCAATATCAAAGGAACTGGCCCGTGGATCAAAAAAAAAAACCGTAAAGAATAACATCAACGCTACGCTACTGAATGTCAACACTAGACAATAGCCGCATAGACGTAAGTACTGCCCCTCTAAAACTACGATAGAGCTTATATTGCCCCTTACGCCATCAGTAGCATAAAAATTATGACGAGCCTTCCAAAAACCCCTATGACCCCAATAGATCGCGTAAGAGATTCTAAGACATCCCGTAGGTAACGTGTTAAAAGATCTACGTTTTTGTTAAAGGCAGTAGCAGAGCGCCGACGAATGGTTTAGCATACAGACAGGAATTTTACCCCGAGGTCCTCAAGTTCTGACCCAACTTGTAGAGGAGACTGAAATGGTAGATCATTAGTACAAAGTTGCACGATAACTATGTCGGGGCGTGTAGATCGAACTACGTGCAGATCAACTGTACGCCCACCAATGCCATGCCAAGTTATATCGGCGGGAGCCGTAATTTGTAGGGATAAATCAAGGTAACCGATATGATGTTCAATGAACTTCTCCAGACGTCGAATAAAAGAGTGTCCCAAGATTAAAACACGAGGTGTTGGTGTAACCGTGTGTGTAGCCATAACTCTCCTAAGAAAGAAGGATTAAAATTAAAAAGAAACTTGCCTGAAAATTTTTAACTAAGCGTCAAAGGGATTTCAGAACAGGCTGATGGAAAAAGTTGGAAGGTCGCGCAAAACATATAACAAGTCTTTTATACAGCACTAAACACGTTCGATCTCCTCATTGGCCAGGGAACCACCGCCTGCACACTTCTGATAAGAAACGGGAAATGCCTCGAAATAAAATGACATTATGATGCCATCTTCTCATCATAATGTTTGTTATTTCAAACCAAGAGGGGCTGGGTCGATTCCATTAATTATGGGATCAACAACGCGGGACGCACATAGTCATAAAGAGCACATTAAGGTTGGAACATTCTTAAGTTTGGTGTTTATCGGGCCTATTTGAACGAGATACATCCCTTCAAAAACTTCAAAATTAAATAAGAAGTCCGGACGGTGTATCTGGTTAACAAATAGATTCCATGTTGCCGTGCGTCTGTTCAGTAATGGATCACAGATGACGTCAAAATGTGAAAAAAAAAACAAACAAACAAACAAACAAACAAAGAAGTAGCACATGAGCGGCAGGCGAGTGTGTCACTGAGTTTTGCCCCCGCAGGGATTTCGCTCAGAAGGCGAAATCCCAAGGAGGCACTCTAGTAACTCGCGCGTATATTAAGGAAAGTACTTACAGTTAAAATATACAGTCATACAGTCAATATAGAAAAAATCTCGATTTGCTTGAACAAGGGCCGCGAGGAATCGGTAGGTAATGATGACGTTTCTATTGTTTGTGCCCGCAAGTACGAAATGGTTAGGATGACGTAAAACACAAAAAAATACCAAAGGGACCGCTTACAATGGGTAGATTTTGTGACATTAATTGTGCAGTCATACTTCGATACTCTTTTGCGTTACGCGTTATCAGTGACATTCGCTGAAGCAGTTGTTATGAAAGTTATGGACAAAAGACACTCGTTAAGCGCACATGAAGTTATAAGGTGCGTATAACAGTGTATATTTTAACACTACGTGAGTTTGCCAGACGCGAGTTCACAAATCTTTGATTGGCAACCTTGCCAAACACTCTTTCTCTTTCTTTGACCGGAATAAGACTCGGCCCCAAACAAGCGAGAAGAGTGAATGACTCAACGGCTACCTTATCACTAGCAGAACGATGGACGATTACAGAAATTCGCCGACCATCAAATTCTTTCCTGCTCACAGATGTCCTTCCGCTATAAAGTTTAAAATAAGACTAGAATGCGCGAGCGTGAATTAATCGAACGCCCTTTTAATTCTAAGACTTGCTTTCCGGCAAATTAAATGAACTTAATGTAAAAAGTGAAATAGAAATAGCGAAAAATTAAACTTCTAATTAGACTAATAGAATAAACTACTCTCGAAACTGAGAATGTTTTGATCAAAGCCGTGTAAATCGACCCGAAACTGCGCATGGAACCTTGCGTTTATTTCCTGTATTTATCTCACCTATTGTATGGAATATGTGTATGAATTAGTATATTTCAAAGAGCTACACAACGAGCAAGAATACTATTGACCGACAATATACAGAGCGGGGACCGCTGTAATGTCAACTATTACTAGTTATACTATATTTTTTATTTAATTGCGCCCGCCACCTTTTCTTGGTCAGCGGCATTCTTTTAACTGTATAGCGAGATTTTTTCTCGATCTGTTCACACTCCTGTGTTGTACCGACTAATATGCATGATATGAGTGGTATGTGGTCTCGCAGGTCCTGGTGTTGATTTCAAGGTCCCTTTGATGTCACAGTAATCACGTGAATGCACATGCAAGTGATGCAACAATCATTATTACACATTCGACTCGGAAGCACAGGTAATTCAGGTACACAAGTACTGCATTAAATAGGCGACTTTTCGATTCGCCTTGCCGGCCTGGAATCTATTTACCCAGGATGAAAAGTAGGGCCTGATCTCAGCTTAGTGCGGGACTAGTTTTCGGTAACATACGAGCGCTAGGAAAGTCTAGAAATCGATGTAAATTATAAAGTTTATTCACGTTTCACTAAAGTGCATGGTTTTTCAGGGTGTTATATTTTTATACGTTTTCAAGCATGTTACGTCGCCTGTCATCCGAAAGCTTTAATAAGCTTTGAACTCCAGTGGTAATTTAAGCCGTTTCATTATTTTATATCGCATATCAACGGCCTTTGGTCATTGAACACGGACTGAATATTCGTTTGAATAACAAGACTTCGTGCATGACTGCGTACCGGCATTACTTGGGTCACACATTACTGTTTCAATGTATCTTTCCCACGAATAAAATACAAACGTCTTTTCTCGCTCTTTATCATCCGCAGATGAAGGAGTGATAGGAGTGATTTTTATGAAGATTTTTAGTAGAGCTTGCTTTAGCAGCACGAGACTTTAAAAATGCAGGCGTTTCTTGTTTTCTTGGTGTGTGGGACCTTGTTTGTAGGCCACGCGTTCGGACCGGAGACCGTGGAAACTGGGGATAAGAATCGTGACGACTTTCATTGTATGCAAATGAGAATCGTGATGAGCATGCGCTTTATTTTCGGCGATGACTGAAATGACGCATGTAAGTTTGCAAGTGATGTAATTTACCCCGAATCGAGGATCTGGATTTTCATGTAATTATGCACGACATGCACGCGTATTAAAAAGTAAATACCCCGTACGATGAGAAAATATTATAGCTGGGAAATCCTGTTTTATGGTGTATTGAGGCGTTACGTTTCTCAGAATATTGTCTCAATTACTTGAAATCTACGATATTTAACTGATAGATTTTCGCAGTTGTTAAGATGTGAAGTAGTGTTGCACTTTATAAATACTTGAGATATCAAGTATTTACTGGGCTGCCTGTGCGGCCCAGTCATAAAATGGGCTTTCATATGAAATGGTTTCATATGAGTTTCATATGAGTTTCTCTTGCACGGACCCTTACACGGATACTTTTTGTACCTCGTCTGCGATCCCCCTGAAAAACCCACAAGGCGTTGCGAACCTGAAGAAGGCTATTTGCGTTGTTCGAAGCGATTCGATCATGTGAGTCACTCTATAATTTTTTTATTGTTCGAGTTTAAGTCAGTTAGATGATGTTGGCGCTGGGAAACTCAGAGAAATGCTCGTGTTGCATTCAAACCGACACGCCGTTCACGGTAGGTTCACACTAAAAGACTGAAAAGATGACTGTGAACGTCAGGTTTGGAACGCCGTGGCCGCTTCGTGAACTATCGATCGATGTAGTACATGAGCAATTAAGAAGCACAATTTATGAGCAAAGTATTTCACCAGTTGACGACACTATGGCTGAAGACTTTATTGTAAGCCATCATAGTCAGTGAAGCGAACAACTCAGTTGCCGATGAATGGCAGATGAATCCTGATGCGTCGCACGTCCATGAGCGAGGGACGTGACAACTTTGCCATGTTAGAAGACTGGCTTTTTCTTTAAATATTTCCTTCTATTTAATGCAACACACGCCACTTTGGAGGTCTAAATTTCGGATACTGAGGATAAAGAAGACACGGACAAAAATAGGAACTCTGAGAATTTCGCACACAAGTTTAAAGCTTCACCGGGACATCCCATCTGGGAGCTTCACAGAGAGCGACTTGAGGAAAATAGGAGCTATTACTGACAAGGTTTGGTGACTGAGTAGAGCATACAAGTGTACCCCACGTCGAGGTTTCAGGGGGTTTGCTTTTGTTTGTATCTGTATCTTGCTAAGCTTCTATCATTAAATTTGTACAAGATCTTGTGATCACAATTCTGTGTTTTCGCCCATTCAGCAAGCACGCTATATTGATGTCAGCATTAGCGAGTTTCAGAAACATGCATTTGAAAAATTTCAGCTCTCGTGATGTTTCTTGATATTTCTTTTACCATTTTATGGAGATGTAAACTGAAGTCACCGCAAAATGGAAACTTAAAAAAGCGTATAATCCATTTATCTCGAAACATAACACACATGACTTATACGACCTTTATTTTCGTTGAGGTGTTTTGAATGCGAACGAATACGATCAATGTGAGGGGCAAAAACAGCATTAATATAAATGAGCCATAGGATTTTAACTAACATAAGGGTCAATTATTGTGCATTGAGATGAATCACTTGAAAAGAGAGACTTCGCTTGAAGATGTGATCAGAAGTAAACAAAGGCATAATAGTGCGTCACGTTCAGTCTTTTTAATATCCAAGGAGTCACTGTGAATAGTGTTTCCATATTGTTTAGCTGGCACAAAAACTTCGGACGAGTTATAAAGCGGCATAGTTATCTTCCATGAAGAAAAGTTAGTCTTGGGTGAGACAAACAGAACTGGAGCGAATTTTTAACTCACATCGGTATCAGGTAAAAAATATGTTATCGATCGTTTCATCTATTTACATTGTTTGAAGTGCGTGCTGGTGAACGCAACAGGCGAGCGAGAAATCTTTAAACTTTTTTAGGTCTCAAAATGCAAAGGATTTTATTCCTTCAAGTTAGAGAAAAATACCATGAGGAAAATCTTAAAACTGAATATTTTTTATCTTGTGCAAAAAATAGTGCGTTTTCATGTAGACTGTGGACCGCAAATTAGGATCGCACTTTTCACAAACATACGAATTCTGAAGTTCAGAACCCAACCGACGATTGTATTTTTCGCTGCTGTCAATCATCTTAACGGACCTCTTTGGAAACGAAACTTTACTTCACGGGTTCAAAAGGTCATGGTTTGTGATTTGTGGATTTCGATCCGTTTTGTGTGTTTCTCTGTTTCAAGGTTCGTTGCTTGTGATCGTAATTATGATTGACGGAAGCGATAAACACAATTGTGAAGGTGGCTTTTGAACTTTAGAGTTCGCATGTTTGTGAAAAGCGCAGTTTAGTCTCCGTGCAGTCAGTGAGGCCCCTGGATCAGGCGGGATCAATGAACAGTTAACTGTCTGTTTTAGTATACTTCTGGTTTTCATACAATACAATATTTCTGTCTAGTGTAAATTAGCTCAGTCTGTCGCATTTTATGCTGCTTGGGGGAGGGGTGCGTGGAAATAATGCAAATTGTTTCCTGCTTACAATTAATGGCTAACTTGTTTATTTTTATTCATAATGGTGGAATTTAAAAGTTATTATACAGCCCCCACTTAAAAATGGTACTCTTTTTTTTGGGTTACAAAAGTCTTTCAAAAGGGTACAATGTTCTGAATGAGTTTATGTTTCAGTCTCACATGAGATTCTGTTGCATGCAATGGTTGCAGACAAGGTTTTATGGTAGCCTGAGTGTGTATAGCCGCCCCCTCCCCTCAGAAAAAATAGCCCCTTTGTAGCCCAGTTAAAAATCGCCTTTCGTCGATTCTTGTTACTACTGGAAGCAACTTCAACTACCTGTCTAATGGTTGGTTTGCCCTGTCGCGTAATTTTTAAGTGCGTACGTGCGTAAAATTTACGTTCGCAAATAAAATAGAGGAAACTAATATATGAAAGAAAATGTTTAATCTCAACACTTTATATCTTGCCTCTATTTTATTTACGTGATTAAAATTTACGTGCGTTAATGTGCGGGGCCAAAAACGCGTTAGTGGAAATTCACCCTAACGTTACGTATGTGTCACGGATGTGTTTATACCGGTAGCTTTGTACTTGACTATCACGCACTCTACTTGCGGCCCCGCTTGCAGCACATAGAAGTCCCATATCGAGCTTTTCCGGAACGGTTCGGTCCACGAATTCTATCGCTTGAAAGCGTTGATTACTTTGGAACAAGTGATTACAAGTGATTACAAAAAAAGAATTATCTCACTGAGTAAAACTTCGAGGTTTACGGGAAAATCAGGATCGAGGATCGGTTTAAAAAAAACTTGAAAATACAATAAACAAATAAATAAATCGTGGTGATGTGGGCCACAGACTGTGATAAACTTCTCAGAACATAACCCCGTTCGCTCTACTGAACACTAAATTTAAGTAAACTACTCCGAGTCTGACTGAGTTAGTGATTGTTTCGACGAGAAGGTGAAACTTTCCTGGAAAATGAAACGCTTTATCCCAGTGATACTGTGATAAAATGCATGCTGGGTACAGCTCTAAACATCGCACTCTGAGACTGTATGGAGATATTAAAAGCAGATGTTAAGCAGCTATGGAAAATGTAATTACTTTCACGCGATTTTGATATTTATAAAACGGGCAACAAATTAAGCAGGAATACGCACGAACTGAATTAACTGTCTTGTATAAGGTTATGCTAAACTTACACACGTTTCCTGTGCTGAACATATACTGTACCAAGCCCTATCTTGGTCCGCTACAAAGAAGCTATATATATTTATACTGACAGAGTCATGGGCTCCTGATACTAACAAAAATTATCGTTCAATTTTTTGAGTGTAAAATCTCTGAAAGAGTTCTCACTGGAGCAGTATCACTATGTAAAAGGTTTTCGGAGGTTTCACACCGGTTTGAAGCTAAGATGAGCCGCCTGTTTCTTCTTGCAATTTTTACGTTTTGAGTATTTACAGTATGACATATAACACTCGTTTTGTATTTCAAACGAAAAAGTAGTATAACAGCACCGGTGTAGTTCCAGTTTTTCGGTTTTATTTTATTTGAATAACATTGGTTGAAATTCGGTTTATTATTTGCCCGATCAGCGGTATTTTACTTAGGCCCAGGACCGCGCGGTCGCAAACATGTGAAAAGGTGCTCGCCATGTTTTAGGTTGTATTTGTTTTGCTTTTAGTAATCGGTTTTCATGGTGTTCGCCGGACGTCTTAACACGTGTTTGTAAGTTTCCTTTATTAGCGCTTTCTTTATTTCGTCGGGTTTGAGTGTTAGTGTAAGTTTTTCATTACATTTCTGTAATTTTCATGCATTTGTATTCCATCCAGCAACCATGTTTATCGTGAGGTTGGTTATCGTACATGAGTTTGACACGTAACATCTCCATGTAGTTCCGAATTAAAAGTTGTGGTTTTTGGCGGCTACATTAGTTTAAACACGTTTCGGTGTCTCCATGGATTACGAAGCAAATGCAGTTAGCGACGAAGTGGTTGGACCGCGTGGTGAAGAAGTCAGACTTGTGCAAGAAATTACCCAACTGAAAAGAACTAGAGCTGGTTTTACGTCGGTACTTACGAGGAAGAGAACTGAACTTTCTGAATTATTAGAGGTTGGTGCTGACGTTGATTGTGTAAAGAACAAAGTATCTGAGCTTAATCAAGCATTTGAAAACTTCAAGGGAGCTCATGAGTTGTACATCAAGAGTCTTGTTGATGTCGGTAGTATTAAGGAAGCTTATGAGTATTTTCACGCCAAGTATCATGCTGTTAGTCGTTTGAAAGAAAAGGTAGCTGGTTGGATTGTCGGTGTTGAGTGTGCAAATGCAAATTCGACTGGTTCTGATGTTTTACCTGAAGATTCAGTCTGTCAGGCAGGTACAGGTGTTAGATCTGTGGCCAGTAGTAGCAAAGCAAGTTCTGTGAGACGAAGATGTGTTGAAGAATCAGCCAAAAGAAGAGCCTTGGAGGCAAAGTTGAAGTTGTTTGAGGAGCAACAAGCTGTAGCAGAAAGAAAATTCCAGTTGCAGCAGCAAGAGAAGAGATTAAAAATTAAGTCTGATCTTATCCAGATAGCAGCAAAGGAGCAAGTGTATGCAGAAGCAGATGCTTTGGAAAGAGGTAGTTCATTTGAGTTAGATCTCAAGTCAAAGGAACTTTCTCCGCAAAATTGCAAGATCAAAGAACGTGAACAAAGAGGAGCAGCTAAAGTTCAACGTGAGGGGCTCAACCCTGTGGTCTCTGGGTGGTCTCCTTCATTTCTGCCCCCCTGTGAACAGGGAATGAATCAATCACAAGCCAGTGTAAAAACCATTGAAATAATGGTAGACATCCAGGAAAAACAAGCAAAATGCATGGAGGGCCTAGTTAATCAGCAATACAAGAGTGCTCTAACCTTTACCCTGAAGTACCAGTTTTTGGGGGAGATCCTGTTGAATATTCAAACTTTGTGAAAGCATTTGAGTGTCTGATAGAGTCTAGGACAGAAAGTAGTAGCTCAAGATTGTATTACCTTGTATAGTATACAGAAGGAGAGGTTCAGGAGTTGATTGCGCAGTTGTTGTAGAAACACTTTGAAAAGTATTGGTAATAGTAGGAAGATTGAAAATCCAGAGAGTTTGAGGGGCGTTATCAATAGGCTACCTTATGATTTGAGAAAAAAGTGGCGAAACACCGCTGACCAGATATCAGAAGATCAGGACAGAGAGATTAAGTTTAAAGACATTGTTGTATTTGTAGAGAAACAAGCCCGTGCTGCTTCACACCCAGTTTTTGGTGACATCTCAGCTCGCTCCTAGGATCATGAAAGGGAAAGGAACAGCTACTCCAAACCAAAAGGAAAAAGCTTTGCAACCAAAGGGGACGATGCAGACCAGGGAAGAAGCAATGAAAACAAGGAGGATCCCGCTGGTGAAAGGAATGGAAATCCAAAGAACTGTCCAAAGTGTACAAGGGATCATTATCTGCATGACTGTCCCGAATTTAAAAGGGAGTCTTCTGAGGAGCGTGCACATTTTGTGAGAAGCAAAAGACTCTGCTTCAACTGCCTGAAACCGTACCATAGAGTGCAAGATTGCAGAAAGAAAGGAGCTTGCAAGGACTGCGGTAGAAAACATTCATCATTGTTACCTCATCCTCCAGTAGCTTGTGGTAATGCAAACAAAGATCAGAATTTGGCTGGCAAACAACCAGAGAATCCCACTGGACAAGGACGTGAACCAGCTGCCCCAAAGGTCAACAATGGTTTTATTGAAGTCGAGCCTGCACTTTGTGGTTTTACAGGAATGTCAAAGGCAACGGTTGGTCTGCCTGTGGTGCCCGTAAAGGTTACGGGAATAAGCCTGTGGTAACTACTAAACGAGTTAGGGCTGAGGGGTGAGGAGACGAGTTTCTCATTACCCACTATTGAGAAACAGAACAGTAAGGTCCAATGTAGTGTTGTTAGTTTGGTGGTTCACAATCTTCAAGAGGACGAGTTTATTGACCTGCCATCAGTCTTCTCTACGCCATCTTTGCCAATTACATGCGATGATATTCCGAAGCAAGAGGATGTTAAGAGATGGCCAAACCTCGATGGAATCTATATACCAAAAGTGGAAGCACAGGTTGGCCTACTTATTGGTAATGACAATCCGAAAGCACTTGAACCAAGGGAGATTAAGCAGAGCAGAAGAAAAGGCCCATTTGCTGTTAGAACCGTGTTTGGCTGGACAATAAATGGTCCACTGGGTCGCGAGAGCACTGGAGGTAGCCACACTGTTAACTTAGTTAAAGGGAACATTGAACTGGAGGCTCAATTTAAGAGATTTTGTAACCAAGAGTTTAGTGACTCCATTGCGGACACAGCCATGCAAATGTCTAAAGATGATCACAAAGCGGTTGCAATTATGGAGCAGACAGCGGTTCTAAATGGAAATCATTACACAATGGCCTTGCCATTGAAATCACCTCCTCTTCTGCCGAAAGACAGGGTCATGGCCTTACACCCCGCAAAGATCCTAGTTTTTTTGTTCAGTAAATACTTGCAGGTAATGGATGATCATCTTCACCATGGATACACAGAAAACGCGCCTGAAAGTCTGCTTGACCGCTCTGATGTTATGGTTTGGTACCTTCCCCACCACCCCGTTTTCCATCCTGACATGCCCGACAAGACAAGGGTTGTCTTTGACTATGCTGTTAAGTTTAGAGCAGCGTCGTTGAATGATAACTCTTGCAAGGGCCGGATTTCACCAATACCTTGGTGGGTGTAATGACAAGGTTTCGACAGAAACCCATAGTCTTAATGTCCGGCATTGAGTCCATGTTTCACAGTGGAAGTAGCTCCAGATCACTGTGATGCACTGAGGTTCTTATGGTGGCCAAGAAATGACGTGGAAAGGGAGCCACAAGATTACCGGCTAAAGGTTTATCCGTTTGGTGCGGTTTGCTCACCTAGTTGTGCCGGTTATGCTTTGCGCAGAACCGCCCAAGATAATGAAGCTCTATTTCCTCCGGAGGTTATTGAGACAGTGAACAAGAACTTTTATGCGGATGACTGTTTAAAGTCAGTGAAAGATGAAGATTCAGCAGTTTCGCTCGTGCTTAAGTTTGGACAGCTCCTGACAATTGGAGGATTCCACCTGACCAAGTGGGTGTCTAATTCCCCGAACGTACTTGCCACTATTCCTGAATCAGAGAGGGCAAAGTCTGAAAAGGATCTTCAGTTGGGTGTCATGCCTTCTCAACGGGCCCTTGGCGTCAAGTGGAATCTAGAGTCAGACACATTTGGTTTCAAAGTGAAGGTTAAAGAGAAGCCCCCTACTCGCCGCGGTATATTGTCTTTGGTCAGTTCAGTGTATGACCTGTTTTAAACCTAGTGGGTTTGGAGATGCTAGTAGTTGTGAACTCCATCACTTCAGTGACGCTTCGCAAGCTGGTTACGGTGCAGTCACTTATCTTCGCTTAGTCAAAGAATCAGGTCAGATTCTTTGTACCTTTGTGATGTCCAAGGCAAGGGTCGTCCCCCTGAAGAGGATCACTATACCTCGACTGGAACTATCTACTGCCACTGTCTCTGTCAGACTTGACAAGATGATCAAACGAGAGTTAGAACTAGCTGTTGATCGATCGTTTTTCTGGACAGATAGTACATCGGTGCTGAAGTGTGTAGCAATCAGTCACACAAGGTTCCACACATTTGTGGCGAACAGGTTGTCTCAAATCCATGACTGTTCTTCTCCTTCTCAATGGAGATATGTACCGTCGAAATTGAACCCAGCCGATGATGCGTCGAGGGGTCTCAAAGTGGGTGAGCTGCTTACAAACAGCAGGTGGAAGGTGGGTCCACCCTTTCTGTGGCAGTCAGAAGACAAATGGCCAAGTTATCCTGGTGTGGAAGAGCTCTCTGAAGAAGATCCTGAAGTCAAGAAAGGTGCGAAGGTTGGTGGTGTACTCACTGATGGTGATGCTATTCAAGATGACCAGTTGTTGGAGAGATTCTCGTCTTGGCACAGCCTTAACAAGTTTGTCGCATGGTTCTTAAGATATAAGACAAGCCTCTGCAAGTTCTGTGCTCGAGACAAGGAGAAGCCAGTGATACCGGCTGTGAAGTCTAGTATTGAGCCGATTAGCGTGCCTGAAATGAGAGAGGCTGAACGAAGCATCGTTAAGTATGTCCAAGAGAAGCACTTCAAGGAGGAGATTGAAAGCCTCAAGAGAAATCAGGATATTGTAACTGTGATTCCAAGTCAAAGGCCCAAAGGAGGTTCAGTTAAGAGAGGTAGCAGCATATTTGGTTTAGACCCCATTCTGGTGGACGGAATTCTGGTTGTTGGTGGACGGTTGCGGCATGCTTCACTGCCTGAAGATGCCAAACATCAAATCATTTTGCCTAAAGACCACCATGTTACGAACTTGATAGTGCGGCACTATCACTTGGCATCTGGTCATTCGGGGAGAGAGTATGTTCTGTCACTTCTACGAAGTACATTCTGGGTTATCCGAGCCAATTCAGTAGTACGTAAACTTCTCGCTAATTGTTTCAGTTGCAGACGGCGACAAGCTCCTGTGTGTAGTCAAAAGATGGCAGATCTTCCTAAGGAACGTGTTACAACCGGACAGCCTCCGTTCAGTCATGTTGGGATCGACTACTTTGGCCCATTTATGGTGAAGCAAGGAAGAAGTCAAGTGAAGAGGTACGGCTGTATCTTCACGTGTCTAACGATCAGAGCCGTCCACATCGAAATCGCACACTCGCTTGCTAAGGATTCTTTCATAAACGCTCTTCGCCGGTTCATCGTGAGAAGAGGCAAGCCTTTGTTGGTGCGGACTGATAATGGGACCAATTTCGTCAGTGGTGAGAAAGAATTGCGCACCTGCATTCAGAAGTGGAACAGACAGTGTATTCATGAATATTTGCTGCAACAAGACGTTCGTTGGATTTTCAACTCCCCAGCAGCGTCGCACCATAGTAGTATTTGGGAACGGTGTATAAGAACTACTCGCAAGATCCTGAACGCTCTTCTCAATGAGCAGGTCCTGAATGATGAAGGGTTGCTGACTCTCATGTGCGAGGTGGAGGCGGTTATAAATGGTCGACCCATCACAAAGGTTTCTGAAGATTCCAGAGACTTAGAAGCGCTTTCCCCTAATCACTTGCTTCTACTACGACATAGAGCTGTGTTACCACCAGGTCTTTTCCAAAGGGAAGATAACTACTCCCGGTGAAGGTGGCGCCAGATCCAATATTTGGCGGATCAATTTTGTGGAAACGCTGGTCTAGAGAGTATATCCCTTTGCTTCAAAGGCGACAGAAGTGGAACAGTTCACGTCGAAATTTAGCTGTGGGAAACATTGTGCTTGTAGCTGACGAGACTACCCCGCGGAGTTGCTGGCCGTTAGCAAGAGTGATCGAAGTTATGCCAGGCAGTGATGGTTTTGTGCGACGTGTTAAAGTCAAGACTAAGACGAAAGTTCTGGAGCGACCAGTCGCTAGGTGCGTGCTTTTGGAGGCCACTGAAGACAATGGACATTAAGAACATTTATTGAAAACATTGAAGTTTCACTTCAACATACTGTATTTGAACTGTGCTTAGATTCAAGTCATTACTCAAGGAGTTAGATTTACATAAGAACTTTGAGAACACAAACAATGCTTAAATGCCCATGTGCATTTAAAGGGGTGGGGAATGTAGTTGAAGTTTTTCGGTTTTATTTTATTTTAATAACACATATATATTTTTTTCTTTGTTGGCTGAAATTCGGTTTATTATTTGCCCGACCAGCGGTATTTTACTTAGGCCCAGGACCGCGCGGTCGCAAACATGTGAAAAGGTGCTCGCCATGTTTGTGCTAAGTTTTAGGTTGTATTTGTTTTGCTTTTAGTAATCGGTTTTCACGGTGCTCGCCGGACGTCTTAACAAGTGTTTGTAAGTTTCCTTTAGTAGCGCTTTCTGTATTTCGTAGGTTTTAAGTGTTAGTGTAAGTTTTTCATTTTATTTCTGTAATTTTCATGCATTTGTATTCCATCTAAAAACCATGTTTATCGTGAGGTTGGTTATCGTACATGAGCTTGACACGTAATATCTCCATGTAGTTCCGAATTAAAGGTTGTGGTTTTTGGCGGCTACAACCGGCGCCTTTGACAACAAAACTTATCTTCAAGCAAGCGAGAGTTGTTTGTTCATGTTTTCTCGACGCTCTTGTTGCCGGTGTTGTTGTGGTTGCCGACGTTTATCGTCAGTAATAAAGACGTGACTGAGAGTAGCGACTTAAGACTGAAGACTCTTTTTCAGATAAAAATGTTGACCTTGATAGATTGACGTGGTTTGAAACTAATATGAGCCGCCTGTTTCTTCTTGCAATTTTTACGTTTTGAGTATTTACAGTATGACATAGTTCAAACGAAAAAGTAGTATAACAGCACCGGCGCCTTTGACAACAAAACTCATCTTCAAGCAAGCGAGACTTGTTTGTTCATGTTTTCTCAACGCTCTTGTTGCCGCTGTTGTTGTGGTTGCCGAGATTTTTATCGTCAGTAATAAAGACGTGACTTAGAGTAGCAACTTAAGACTTAAGAGATAAAAATGATGACGTCGATAGATTGACGTGGTTATCTGATGTCAGAAGGGCTTATATTCGGAAGGGCGATTTGACAGAGGGTTTTTTGCATTACGGGTTTGGGGGGCTTATATTTGGGGGAGCTTATACATGGAGGGGCTTATTTTCGGAATTTTACGGTATAGCAGTGGTACTTTCCTGCTCCTGCAGCTGATGATGCTCCCACTCCTATTGCTGCTTCTGATTCTGCAGTTTCTTCTGCTCCTGCTGCTGCTGTCACTCGTACTCCTGCTCCTACTGCTGTTCCACCGCTGATTCTGCTCTGATACAGCTCCTGTTTCTACTCCTGACTTTGCTCCTTCTGTTGCTCCTGTTCCTGATGTTGCTGCTCCTGCCGTTGTTCATGTTTTCTCAACGCTCTTGTTGCCGCTGTTGTTGTGGTTGCCGAGATTTTTATCGTCAGTAATAAAGACGTGACTTAGAGTAGCAACTTAAGACTTAAGAGATAAAAATGTTGACGTCGATAGATTGACGTGGTTATCTGATGTCAGAAGGGCTTATATTCGGAAGGGCGATTTGACAGAGGGTTTTTTGCATTACGGGTTTGGGGGGCTTATATTTGGGGGAGCTTATACATGGAGGGGCTTATTTTCGGAATTTTACGGTATAGCAGTGGTACTTTCCTGCTCCTGCAGCTGATGATGCTCCCGCTCCTATTGCTGCTTCTGATTCTGCAGTTTCTTCTGCTCCTGCTGCTGCTGTCGCTCGTACTCCTGCTCCTACTGCTGTTCCACCGCTGATTCTGCTCTGATACAGCTCCTGTTTCTACTCCTGACTTTGCTCCTTCTGTTGCTCCTGTTCCTGATGTTGCTGCTCCTGGTACGGTATAGCAGAGGTACTTTCCTCCTCCTGCTGCTGTTCCTACTGCTGATGCTGCTCCTGCTCCTATTCCTGCTCCTGATTCTGAAGTTTCTTCTACCCCTGCTGCTGCTCATACTCCTGTTGCTGCTGCTGGTCCGCCGCTGATTCTGCTCCTGATACAGTTCCTGTTTCTACTCCTGCCTCTGCTCCTTCTGTTGCTCCTGTTCGTGGTGTTGTTCCTCCTGCTTCCACTGCTGCTGGTTCTACTCCTGCTGTTACTGCTGCTGCTGCTTTGCTACTATTCCTACTCCCGCTCCTTCAAAAAGAACAACAAAAATAAAAATCTAAAAGCCGCAGTTTTACACAATACCTTGTGTTAACATCTTGAAAGTACTGAGCTAATCCTTCATGGCCATTGGCTTGAGCAACATCCTCGGGTAATGGTGTTCTGTCCTTGCTTGTCCAGCTTAAGTACTGAAGACCATGTCAATAGATTCTTGAACATCGGTTTGGGGTGTAAACTAGTAGCTGAAGAACTTTCACTGATGGCAGGTGTTTCGTTTGAACTGAAAAATAAGTTAGAGAATTACAAATTAGTGTTTCCACTGTAACAACAAGTATCCTCCTCCGGGCGCGAAGACGATGACGACGACGACGATGATCATGACGATGATTTCTGAACAAACATAGTAAAGACAACGGGAGACATATTGTTTTTTTTAAATTACATCTTGTTTTTTTTTTCAATTACAAAAGTTAATCAGAAATAACTTGCTTGAGCCGGCTTGTGGGTCCGCAGCCACTGGCTTAATGGTTGGATAACGAGGACACAAGTGACGCAAACATTGACTAGAACTTGGATTGACTACGTCAGTATCATCCCGCGCGTCGCCATCTTGATTCTTAATGGCCTCCGTTTCTATGGATTCTGTGCAACTTTTTATTGAAACGTGATGGTGAGTATTGAGCCCGGACCGCCAGATCTAAAGTTTGAGGAATTGGGCAAATAGACCTACATAAAATTACTTCACTTTACCTTGGCCTTGTATACTTCGGAGCAACTACCTGTGCAATGTTGCTCTCATTCTCAAAGAATCCTTGCTCTTCCAAACAAATGGCAGACCACAATGATCGAGGAGTTGGATCCTTTACTACCTCTCGGACTATCTCCCCTATCACGTCAATGTGTCTGAAAACTGTCATTCCAATTTTCAGACCGGCGTCTGTGACAACAGTCACAGGTACTTCACCAGGCATTGGAGAAGCTGAAATTTTATTAAACAATAATATTAAACACAGTTTTAAATAGTAATCAGATTTTTTTCTCCTCAGTTGGATATTTTTAGTATATTGTTTTTTGAAATTTATAATTACATACCATTACAAAAATAAGCACTACTCTCCCCTAGGAATCCCTAGACTCATGGTCGAAATCTTTAAATGTCTCCAATTCAAAATTCATTTATTTACATGGACATGAACGGTAGCGCTAATAATGTTATGTATTTTAAGATAAAAATTTATCGCTATTTCTATATAGAAATGTGGATTATTTTTCTTTAAAATATTTCTCGGTCTCCTTTGGGAATCCCGTTTTCATAGTGTGTTTTGGCGTGTAGAAATCAATTTGTTGATGGTGATGTGGTGATCAAAACTTCAGTTGCCTCCTTTTCATTGACATTATTTGCACGTTGAACATTTTTTTATATCTGCAGCCCATTGTACTTACGAGGGACAATTCCTGACAGAGTGAAAGGGTTTTCCTTCCATACCACGACATTGGCCACCCCTTCAAACTGTGCTACCCCAGACGCTACTTCATCTGGCAACTGCTTATTCAGTGATATGTAGAAGGGAAATCCTCCCTGTTTTAAATAAAAAACATGCTGCCACTGAACCAGAAGTATATGTTCACCGAGAGTTAAAATTCATGGGTAGAAGAACAAGGATTTTCAAAATTTAATGGCATACCAATAACGCAGTCCAGGATGGTAAGGATAAGTGACCTTTGAAATTGCAAGGCTTTATTTATATCTACATAAAGGGGTTTCATTTAATTTAAAGGAGTTAAACTTACATGTAAACACCAAAACCCGGGGAATTTAGAGATACATGTGTACACGAATGTAGTGGTCAATTTTTTACAGTTGTAAGGACTGCAGAAATGAGGTCAGCAACAGCTGGGTTGTCAGATTAGAAATATTAGAGAGATTAAGATTCACGTTTACGGCAAACGGCAAACGTCAGATTTAAGTTGGGAATTCCTCCGGATAGAAATTAGCAGGTAAAAACTGTCCATAACAATTCTTACGGATAAAACTGGCGTAGAACTGCTCATTTCGGAGTAGAAGTAATAAACCGTACACGATAGTTAAGGGGAATCTTAATCTCTATAATGATAAAAAAAAATCACCTTTATGGAGCCAGACCTGGGGCAAATATCTTGGACCACTGAATAGACACGGTAAAAAGACGATTAGCAAATGAACAGAGTGTACAACTGATCATGAGGTACTAAAATTTACAATAATAATAATAATAGTAATAAGAATGATAACAAACAAACAAACAAGCAAAATAGAATATAATACTTTAACAGGGTTCACACAGTAAAGACACACAATGGCATGTTTCTTGCCCTCTTAGGTGTCTGAGTTTGTTATATGGTTATGTCGCTTCCTTTTCAGTTTGCTTTAACCATTTTAAGTTAAGGAGCTAGTAATTAAAAAAAAAGGAGAGAAAAAGGCTTAACTCCAATCCCCTTTACTGGAAAACTAATAAATAAATAAATAAATGGAACACCATAATTTTACTGATTCCTGGAGTGTTATTGTGTTGCAAGAGAACAGCCAGTCTAAAAACTAAAGCACAAGCAGTAGTAGTGATAACTGCTTGGGTGTCCTGATCTTCAATTAGCTGTGATTGCAATACACGATCAACATTTCTGAAATATTTCACCGGTGTTCTCGGTTTTCTCGAGTTTGACAACAAACACTTCCCACAAGTTATATTTTTGTTTTGTTCATCAAGAAAGAAACGGATTTTAACATGTTCATATGTACCTCCAAACAAGCTATTCCCCACATCGGAGATATCATCACATATTCCATTGTTGCAAAGTTCTTCTATAGCTGGGTCAAGCTTGAATGAGTTAATTAGCTGGGGGAAAAAAATCACATCCAAGATTAACCACGAGATAACAGAGACCATAAAATCATTCTGTATGCCGGAAATGGTCCAGTTGTTTAGTCCTCTACACAACGGTTCGTTGACAGCGTTTTAATACCTCATATCAAAGCTACAAGCAAAATTATGCACTCGCGTTGATGTGTGAATGCACATCGCTTGCACAACAACTGTAAAGAAAACAAAATTTCTATAAACAAGTTTAGGGGAACTGCTATAGCAAGTCTAGTGTCAGACCAGCCGCCTGGTTAGGTGGACTGCAAGCAGTCAATTTTTCTTTCTTTTTTTTTTTTTTTCAAAATGAAGTGAGGGGAGTAAAAGCGCGATCGATGCCGCGAGACGCAAGTAGTGAGGGCAGCAGCCTGAAAAGAAAAAAAAGAGAGTGTCATCCTTCTTTGTGTCTCGCGCGATTCCCTTGATGGACAAAAAAGGCAGACTGCTAATAGACTAAGCGTTAGACCATGTTTTCGAATAGAGGTGGTCACCAACATCGTACGTGCGGTCCCCTGATATGCAGTCAGCTGTCCGTAGTCTTTATGAAACACAGACCGCATCGCCAAATGTCACTGATTTATCACGTAAATTTAAAAATGGTGTGATCATCAATTATTATTTCTCCAGCTAAATTAGTGCTAACTGCTACCTTCAAGTACCTGCGACGCAGAGGGAGGATCATCACAGAGAATTAAGGACTTTTCAATTGGGAGGTTACCAGCAATAGGCAAGCTACCATCAAGGGGCTGGACAATTTCTGAAAGATATAATGGAAGACATCAATTCACTGTCAGTGGTATGTGTCAATTCAGCTCATTCAGCTCATTCTCTCTAGTATGTGTACAACAGGCTTGTTCATCGCTTGTCTTACGATGGTCACGTTTTTAATTGATCAAGACGTTTTGACTACGTACAATGTGTACATGTACTTGTTTGCACTTAGCCTCCCATACAGAAGTTTTTAGGGGAGCTCGTCTTTCATCCGGGAGGGATGAAAACTGAGCCCCCGTAAAAACGCCTGCGTGGCTAGTCTGCACTGGGCGATGGCGCGTAAATGGAAGCTCCTGCTTTAAATATTGCGGAAGAGCGTTAAAGCAAGCGGGGGCGGCGTAATCAATAAAACGATCTTACACATGAAAGGGTGCAAACAAAGTCACTTTTAAAGCTGGAAAGTTCTTTGACGTGCAGGATTAATGATTAATTTATTATTATTCATTAATTACCTACACGAGTATTTGATTAATCACTTGCTTTATTAATTCATTGTAATAATAACTGTAATAATTTCATTTTGTCAGATCAGCTGCACATGAATTTATTAGGAATTTAAACAATTCTTACAGTACTTCTGTAATTTGAATACAACCAAAAACTTCACTTGCTCATTGCAAGTTAGGAACAGACTTCATTAGCCTGATCGTAAAGCCACCTGCCCCGGGCCATCAGACACGACTTTCTTTGAACGCTGGTAAGGTGTAAAACAAGTGCCACATCGTTTAACTGAACCTGGGCTCTCTTTAACAGAATCAAGAAATCCTTTGTTGGCTTTTTGTACTACTTCTATGACTATTACAAAGGCTACCCCCGAATGATTGAATACAATTGATCAGCATTCATCTTGAAAAATAATTATGAAATGAAAATTGACAAGTACCACCTCTTAGCCACAAAGCAAGCAACTTATCAGATGAATATTTACACTTTCAAAAAAGTCCTTCGTCTGATTTCATATGGCGCGGGACGAAGGACTTTTCGTACTTGATTAGCGCCAATTTTACCGACCCAAAAACAGGTCGGTGCGCTTGGACCAATCAGAGTAGCTCCAAAGGACCCTTGCGGATAAAGCTGTCACTCACAAGTACTAAGCGCATTGAAACGTGACTTGCGGTTCAAATTCCCACATGGGGTCGATTGCGAGGTGGAAGGTGATACGTGACCTTATAGTTTTGCTCTAACGAGAATATCTCCCTGCGATTTTGCTCTTTTATATGAAATGATGGGGAGCTCGTTGTATATTTCTCTTAGTAGTGGTTGATCTTGAATTAGGTGCCATTTGCTCATTAGTATGTTTTTAAGGTTCTGCAAAGTAGGGTGGTACGTGGTAACGAAAGGCAGAATTTTCTTTCGCACTTCATTGTTCTCTTGTAAAGCTGACTTCCGTTCGGTAAATTAAACCTCAGAGGTGATTTTTTCTATGAGATTGTGAGGGTAACCTCTAGTCTGCTACACAGCCGTTTTTAGTGTCGTCACGCAACGCTCCTCCCCACTAACGGCTGCTGAAAACCGAACTACATTCCTTTCCCGTGATTAGCCAATTATAATTCAGCTCCCATTTTCTGGAAAGTGTTCGCGCCACCTTTGCGGTACTGTGACTCCTCCAATCAAAGCTTTGCTTTTATCGTTGCCCCATGTGTGAATGACAGAATAATCAAAATCGTCGCGTGAAAACAAGCAATTAACTACAGTGTTGTTGTAGTCGAGTCCTATTCAAACTTTAGGAGATAAGCAGCAACAGCAAGAAAGTCGAGCGAATTGCGATTCACAACGTGGATGTGCTCATAAAGTTGCCAGGTATAGTTTCGGGAAATCGCTCATAATAAGATTGCTTTTTGACTCAGTACCCTTGAGAGTTTAGTCTTCACAGAACACAATGAGCACATCCGGTACATTAAATTCTTCACTACATATCAGCACATATGCACGTTAAATGAAGAACCAACCGATCCTGGTAAAAGTTTTCTAGACCTATCAAACCTTCTCTTCACTTGGAACTTTCTTGACCGCTTAAAACAAACTTTTTTGCAAATTAACCTTTTCGTTGCTTGAAAACACAGAGCCCGTCTAAATTCAGCGACGATTGATTGATTTGTCGAAAACTGAGAAGCGTGCTCGCTGCCTAGCGCCCTGCGGCTCACATATTGTCAAATTTCTTGTACATGATTGGTTTGTTCGTTAGACCACAAACACAAAGGGAAAGGAATGTAGTTCGGTTTTCAGCAGCCGTTAGTGGGGAGGAGCGTTGCGTGACGACACTAAAAACGGCTGTGTAGCAGACTAGGTAACCTCTAGCGCGAAGGCGTTTTTTGGAAGTTGTAGATGTTCTCATAGAAGGATTTAGCTGAGGATTTAGTTCTCAGAAGTCTAAAGGCTTCGCGCTTTATGAGACCTTTATGAGGGTTACAGGAAGAGAAATGCGTGTATTGAAAAGTCTCTGTAGGTTTAAAATGTGTGCGGATGTCAAGGATTCCTTGGTTGTGAAATCTCCTTTCCCAGTATTGACTCGACATTGAAACAAGTTTTTGTTTTTTTTTTTTTCCGGCCGCCTGAGGTTGTCAACTTTCGCCTAAAATCATTGTTAGAGACAACTTTCGCACAACGTAAACAAATTTGCTCCTTCGATGATGGAGATACACACGTTCAATAGCCTGCGTCGCAGACACTCTAAACCTTCTGCGAGAGTCTGCGAATTAGTGCACAATATCTTGTTCGAATCCCGTAGAGTAGCATGGATATATGTCGGCGTTATTGATTGGCTATTTTCTTTCGCAGTTTGTGATTAGTCCGATTTGAATTAAGCGTTGACAGGCCAAACATGACTCATAGCTCGTGACCAGAGAGATTAAGCTCGTAATAGTGTG